TAAAAGCTCATACTAGTGCGTCTTGTCGTTGCTAGAGTCCCACAAACTTTTTGAAAAGGGACAGTCGGGGGCGTGGCCCCCCCAATAGTCGAGCAGCTGCCCGCCGTGCCCGGGGCTCCGAGTCCGATATAACTAGGAGTTTCAATGGATAATGCGCTCGCATGTTCCTGTTCTGTGTATTATCAGGAGCCCATGAAAGAAAAAGCCTTCCCTTTTTCTTTTATGGGGCTGCTGGTATTATATCTATAATTTTATATCACTTTCCTTATGGCAGCTGACTAGGCCTAGACTATAGTATAGATAGTCTACTGTACTAGACTAAAATAAGTCAATGTGGCACCCTAAAAGCCAGGCCATACACACTTATTTTGCCCATAGCCAGTCCCTTATACAGGATAATTTCAAGTCAGTTGATTCTGTAGTTGGACTGGCTCAGTGTTTTGAGTAGCCGACCCTAATCTCATATGGTTTGCATACTCGCCACAATCTGTAGTATATTACAGGCTTAGTACTGAACAGTTTTAGTGAAAGTTTTGAGACAGTTGGCATGCCATGCTGCACTGCTGATTGAGGTGTGGCTGGTCTGCGCAACTTATTGCTGATACAGTAGTATGACACACATCTGCAAAGTAACATAACATTGGTATTACAATAGCAAAGCGTTTTTCTCTACTTTTAAGCAGTGTATGTACCACATTTTGTTAGGCTCTATTTAGACTTTTATTGAATCTCAATGTTCTAGAATCAAGTGATTTACTTTGTACAATTTTTAGCATTGGTATTATGATGAGATTTCCCTTGTACCTGAGCCACCTGTAGGTAAAGTGATCAAAAAGAAAGAAAATGTCTAAACAAGCCCAAAAAACAAATTATTACTTATTATTATTATTATTATTATTATTATTATTATTATTATTAACATTGTATATTCTATTGTTAGTTATATTATCTCCACCTAATGGTACTGTCTCAATATGTCAAGGAGAAGTATTAACAATAACATGTACTGTGACTGGATCTCAAATACTAGTGTGGACATATAATGGTGGAGCAAGTACTAGCTTCACTATTGGAGCTACTCTTCCACAGCATATTCCACCGTTCAGTTTCATATTACTATCTCATGGTAACGGTACACTGGTGTCAGTTGCAACTGTTAATGTGTCTGCTTCATTAAATGAGAGTGTCATTGAGTGTAGGAATACAATAACCATCACAGGCTCCAGTATAAGACAACAAATCACCTTTAATGTTAAACGTAAGATTTATTTAATTACTATCGTATATCATACTGTATAGCAGGTTTATTTTGAGGATAGCAATTTTTGCGAATGACCTGTATCTGGAGGTTCACATGCATGATTAAATTTTTTTTTGAATTTCCACTTTTCTGCCATTTTTTACTGTATTAAATTAATTTTCAAGGAATTTAATTTCACAAATCTTAAAAATCCACAAAATTTGCGAAATTTGTTATCCTCGAAAAAAATCCACTATACAGTATTACTCACACGACCATGCATGTGTGTATGTATATACATGACTATGCACATATACCAATACTCACATGACCATGTTACTACAGTATTGACCAGTGTACATATGTATGGATGGTGTGCATAATTTTGTATGCATGTGCATATGTCAGCTCTAAACTTTATTTGGTCAAAAAGTTTCCAATATTGTCAATGTGTTCTGTATATTACCCACATAGCTACAAGAAAATACATAATATTCTTAATAACTACAAGAAATGTCTTGGGATCTTTGTGCCTCACATAATTAGCTATGCTAGACTAGCTATAGCAATTAAGTCTACATGTCAGACATAATTACTGTATAGCACTTTATTTTGGCGGCACTTTATTTTGGCAATTTTGCTGTAAAATTATAATTTGTGGTTTTTAATTTGGCGATTTTTTATGTACACGTGCATTACTGAGCATGCGCATTAATGATTGGCGGTTTTAATATTAGTGATTCCGCTTGCAGACCGCCAGTCACCAGAATAAAACTCTGCCAAATGGTATGTCATGTGTATAAAACTTGTTTTCTCTCATACTTGTTTAATAGAAATCTTTTTAAATTCCTATTACAGATTCATTACCTATCAGTTATCTTCATGTTGATGCTGTATCTTCAGATACATTATTAATAATTTGGACTGGAGCTGATTGTATACAATCATATGATGTATTCATTAATGGAACTAATGTTAATACTACCAATGGAATGAGTCTATTGTATAATACTGGAGGAGCTATTGGCAGTATTGATGTATTGGTTAATAGTGTTGATTATTATGGGAGAGCAGTGGGTAATTTAACAACTCAATATCAATTTAACAGTGAGTGGTTTTATTATAACAGTACACAGCGTATATTCATTAGCCTGCCATAAATATTTATGCACCTATTGATATTCAGTAGCAGTTGTTTACATACAGTATTAGTACAGCTATTCCTAATGGATTTCCTGTAGTTACTAACAGGAACATGACTTGGCAGCTAGTGTTTATACTTTGTGCTAATAATTTGTAATAAACAATCAATTCTATTTTTAGAGTACAACTTTGAAGTTGAGGCTATTATTAGCAAATATATAATACTGGTTATAATTAAGGTAATACTGACGTTAAGTGATTTATTGATATAACAAATTTTTATTACATTTTTGATACATATTAATGTCCTTATGCTGTGTAGAAAGTTTGAGCTGATTCAGACTTCATTTTTTCAAGTTACGGCCATTTTAAGAAAATGCCAAAAATCCGAAAAATAGCCAAGGCTATAGCCCATGGTTTTTTCCAAAAGATGGCTCCGAAATCAACACAAATTTTTATTACATTTCCTGATACATATTGATGCCTTTATGCTATGTAGAAAGTTTGAGCTGATTCTGACTTCAATTTTTCAAGTTACGGCCATTTAAAAAAACACCAAAAATCTGAAAAATACCCAAGGCTATATAGCCCATAGTTTTTTCGGAAAAATGGCTTCAAAATCACCCCAAATTTTTATTACATTTCCTGATGCATATTGATGCCCTTATGCTGTGTAGAAAGTTTGAGCTGATTCCGACTTTAATTTTTCAAGTTACAGCCATTTTAAGAAAACACCAAAAATCCGAAAAATAGCCAAGGCTATAGCCCATGGTTTTTTCCAAAAAATAGCTCTGAAATCAACACAAATTTTTATTACATTTCTTGATACATATTGATGCCCTTATGCTATGTAGAAAGTTTGAGCTGATTCAGACTTCAATTTTTCAAGTTACGGCCATTTTAAGAAAACACCAAAAATCCAAAAAATAGCCAAGGCTATAGCCCATGATTTTTTCCAAAAGATGGCTCCGAAATCAACACAAATTTTTATTACATTTCCTGATACATATTGATGCCCTTATGCTATGTAGAAAGCTTGAGCTGTTTCAACTAAAACTTTTTTTGGCGATTATTTAAAAGTGGTAAATATTCGGAAAAAAGCAAAGGATATGGCCCATGATTTCTTTCAAAAAATGGTCCAAAAATCACCCCCAATTTTTATTACAATTTTGTTACATATTGATGCCCTTATGTTATGTAGTAAGTTCGAGCTGATTCTGACTAAAAGTTATGGCCATCTTTTAAAATCGGCCAATTTAAAAAAATACCCTGTACTATAGCCCATAAAAATGGCTCTAAAATCACCCCAAATTTTTATTGCTTTTGCTGTATGTGTAGCACTTCAGAAACTTGCCAATTGTTATATTTTATAGGATAAGTTCATTATTCAACAGCCTGCTCCATTGTCCTGTGAATTGACTGTGACTGACTTAACTCAGTCATCAATGGACTGTCTCTCTAAAAGATTGTTTATATTCACTAATGTCACTGAAGGAGATGTGTATAATTATACTGTTACTATTACTAATGTCATTGGATCATCTGTTAAGAATGGTTCCATAGGTACATAATGAGTGTATTGAGTCTTATCATTGTTAAGATAATTCTGAAAATTTGAGTTAATTAATCTTTAACATTTATGTCTGATGATTTCTTTAGCAACTCCTTATTCGCCAGTTGAAGTGCGTCCTTCAGAAGTTCAGTATTCACCTTCAGCAATGATAATGACGAGTCCTTCATCAGGTATAACTACATGCATAACCATGATCATAATTAATTAATTTTATTATTGTTATTAGTTATGGAGTCAAACACACCAGCTAGTTCCAGTAGTCGCAATTACGTTCCTCCTTGGACAGTTGGTGTATTAATTGGGGCAGTTGCAATTTTATCTAGTCTTTAATGTCAAATAAATAAAGAAGAGTTACTAATTAAATTTGTGCTCTTATTTTGAGGTGGCCATTTATAGACTGTATATATATGTAAACGTACAATGTACATTTTTATTCATTATGACATCTAATATATTATTTTTCTTGATTTATGAGGTACACTTACATTTTATTGTCACAAAATCTATATCAAACTAAACCACACTACAGTATCAAACAAAAACTCAATCATTGCAGGTTTTATAAATGTAGGTTTTAGAATGGTGTTATTTTTCTGACACACAATCTATATTAATTTCCTAGATTTTTGTTGTTTTTATTCTCTTTTTTTACGTTTTTACAGAGTTTATATCAAAAAAAATTTTTAAACTAAGTTCATATCACACTATAGTATCAAATAAAATTCAATCATTGTTCAGTGTTAATAAACTCTACTATACTTACTAGTCTTATTACAGCAAGCACATTTAAACAATACAATCAAAAGAATACACAGAACAACTCCTAAGACTGATCCTAGTACAATAGTAGCAATTTTATAACCGTCAACACCACTAGGATTCAGCTTCCCCTTTATTGCTTTCTTAAACTCATCTACTGTTAGCTCAAAATTACCACATTTCTGCATTTTATAAGGAGCAGGTGTCTTCTTCCCTCCTTCATTAATGATGACTCCCATTCCCTCCAATTGATGTACCTCAATATGACAGTGTAGGAACCACCAACCAGGATTATCAGTTTTAAAATACACAACAGCATACCCACCAGCTGGTATTAACAGAGTATCCTTCAGTGGAGCCGAAGGATCGAGATCAAAGTCATCATATGTATTTACATTCCATGATGGATTAGTACACAGTAGGTCTCCGCCACAATTAATATCACTGCTTCCTTCCTCCAACCTTCCTGTAATATTATTAGTAGGACCAAATTGTATATCAGCTACTTGAAAATAATGTCCATGAAGATGTACTGGATGAGCGAATAGGAAGTTGTTTAGTTGTGTAGTGTTTGGTCCAGTGGCTGATATCACTAGTTGAATGGTATGATCACTGCTCACATTGACAACATGAGCACAATAGCAGTCGGAATCTATAACCGTATCAATCTCATCACACTCCC